TGGAGGGGGAAGTATGTAATTTTGTAGATGCATGGTAGTACTAGATTGTTGTGGCCATTAAAGCAAGCTTGAAATTATGAGAAGTTCAAAAGAAAATAGATTAATTTGCGGTCACCCAATTGAGAAGAAGAGTGAGCTTGTTGATGTTGAGGAAGTTGGTATTGTTGCAGCTGCAGCTAGTAGTGGCAAAGCCAGAATTATCCCTAAGGGGAGTCAAAATATAAATAAGTAAGCATATGAAAAAGTTAAGGGGAGTCAAAACATAATATATATATATATACATAAAAATAAAATATTTAACCTATTTACGCGGTATAATTTTCCGACGAATGAGTGTCAATTGACTCCCCTTGCCAACGAGTGGCTCCGCCACTGGCAGCTAGCTGATATGCTCTTTGCCTAAAACAATCCATTGAATTACTTGGTGGTGATATGGCCACTGTCACTGTTGATGAATGTGCTCCTGATTCAGCTGGAGACTCTTCCCCAAAAGATAAAACAAAATTTATTCAAAAATAAAACCAAGAAAACGCCAATATTCAATTTCCTATCATGAACAAAAAGGGAACCACTATACAGAAGATAACAAGAGTTTAAGTTTTATGCGTTCTAGTATAAAAAAATATTTACATAGTTAGGACACTTATAAGGTAGTTATAAGTCATATCTTTATTATTTGTATTAATTGGCTGGAAATCTAGTAAAATTAATGTGTTGTAACTAATATGCTATCACAAGTTAATTAAATTACACTATAAAAAAATCTTTACTTGTGAGGATTTATCATGAATTGACTGTAGTTTTATGCTGGCTATCTTCCTAATGCGATCCTCCTGGCCTCTTTGCGTTATCAATATATATTACTCCTCTGTTTCAATTTATATAAATTTATTTGACTGAACACGAAGTTTAAGAAGAAAAAAAAAAGAAGATTTTTTATGTGAAATAAGACACATATATTTTGTGTGACTATAAATCAATGTATAAAGTCAAATTGTTTCCAAATATGAAAAACCGTCCTTTTTTTTGACACACACTAAGGAGCCTGTTTGGACATAATAAATTTTTTCTTTTTGTCCAAAAATTTTCACTTTTTTTCGAAATTAGCGTTTGTTCATAAAATATTCAATTTTCATTTGAAGATGCATTTTGAAAATTTTCGTAAATTTGAAAAATTCCAAAAAGCTGTTTTTCAAAATTTTCACTCAAATCACTTACAAAACATCAAAAATAACCCAAAATTCTATTCATGTCCAAACACAACTCTAAATTTCAAATAAATTTCACCATTTTTTGAAGTTTTACAATTCTTATGTCCAAACGCCAACTAAAAAGAAAAATAGGTTAACATAAATTGAATATTTAAATCCCAAAAAGCCGTAGGAGATGAAAGTTACTTGAATTAAGCTTGTCGGATAATGAATTCAGGGCGCTGCCAAGTTGAGGCTGTTTCTTGTTGATTACTTGCTGATTCTTCCTCCTTCTCCGGTTGTGATCTGCCAATCTTTTCCGGCAACTTCTTTTACCATTATCGAATTTTGACAGATCATGGAACCTGCGCAGCTTTTTTATCAGAATAATTATGAAATAATGGTACTAATTATATTGAATTTAAGAAGAAATTTAAAAAAAAAACTTTTCTCTGTGTTGATTAAAGCTGATGATTCTTTCTTTTAATGCTTAAACCAAAACGGAAAATGCTGTCTTTACTATAAGAAGCAAAAATAGGACAGTATGTAACATGTCATAACGGGGTAGCAAAACTAATTGAGGAACATAATTTTACGGACATAATTGCCCTCTGGATATATCTCCCATGTACGTACGACTTTTCAACTCCTCAAACCCCAATCATTAGCTCTTTAACATACCAAAGGGCATTTCCGTCATCTACTTTCCCATCTCCGTGGAAGTTGGAACGACGCATTCTCATTGTTACAGTCGTACAATACAAGATTATTGTAATGTGGAAAAGGAAAAACACATGGAAAGGCAAAAACAGTCCAAGGTTTCTAATTATATCTGTGTTTTTTTTAAGCATAAAAAGAATAAAGTTAATTAGCACTCTAATATTATTCTAACTTCAGTTCATCACATAATTATCATAAAATATTGTGATTTAATGCATAAAGATTTTTTTTCCCAACGTAATATAACCTGCTGCATTGTTGGCAGAAGCGCTGAGTCACACCGGCGGCAATAACGGTGGCAGCTTTTGAGTGAAACTCACACACTTTATGTCGTCGGTGGTAGTGCTTTGCATGAGTGAGATCAGCGTTGCAGCCGTCAGCTTGGCACTTCGGCGAACCGGCCTCCACCGCCCTAGTCCGTCGGAAAAGTCGGTTCACGAAATCGTCTTCCGACGATGCAAAATAAGTTCTTCCGCCCAAATTCAACCCAATCCTACTAGTATTAGTGAAATCAATACCACCCATAAACTGGAGTTCGCTTTTTGGTAAAACCGTATTGAACCCGGTCGAACCGGTAGGTTGTAGAGAAAGCATGGATGTATGATGTGTTTGAGAGTAGGGAACATCATAAGTGTGTGGGTTGTACAAGGAGCTAAAATGGTTGTTATTTGGAGTTGTTTGAAATTGGGGAAATTGATGATTTTGTATTTGTTGTTGTTGTTGTTGGTCGAGGTGGTTTCTTATAGGTGAAAAATGGGCAAGAGGGTTGACAAAAGGGTCAAAAAATTGATCGTTTTGGTCAGTTTCTTGGGTGGTTTCCTCGCCGCCAGTTTCCCATTCATAGTCCAGCATAATTTCTCCTAACTGTTCACTGCCAATAAGCTGTGTATAAATAAAGAAAAAAAGATAAGGAAATTGGAAATTATAACATCTCTATATATCTGAAAATTGAAAAAAAAAAAAAAGTTGGGAATTTTTGAAGTGAGGGTGGAGTGGGGAGGAAATCTGCAGGGAAGATTTTGTGGAGTGAAAAGGCTGCAGCTAAAGACTTTACTGTTTAGCATTCAGTGAAGAGAGTTTTAGTAGGTGTGCTTTATAGGTCTATGTAGGTAATAGCAATAAATAGAAAAAAGAACATTTTTTTTCCATCTTTTTGAGTTCTCAACAAAAGAATAAATAAAGTTTGTGTGTTGAGTTTTAGAATGCCTTTANGTCCGACGTCTAAGCGAACTCTTAAGAAGTGATCGAAGGGCATGGCCGATAATGCTATTGAAGATCAAAGTCGAAGAGTCAACAAAGATCGAGAACGAAGAGTCAACGAAGATTAGAGTCGAGGTCGAGCACTCACCGTAAATAGAGTAAATAACAACTAGTTTTATGATAAGACATCAAAGGAGAATATTCTAGTGAATATTCTTTGTACCTGTATTATTAAGGTATTCTAGGTATATGTTCCTTATAAATAGAAAGAGACACAAGAATCGGGGAGAGAAGATGTTCACTTGTAAGAAAACACACTGACTTTATAGAGAGAATCTGACGTTATTGCAAGCACACGAGAAATACATTTTTACTAAGATTCTTGCATGACTTTTCCGCTTGATCCAAGAACTACTTGAATATTCGAAGGCTTATCAATCATTCATCATTGTCAGAAGGAATATCCACAAATCTCACCCCTTTTCGGGTGACTCGCATGTTCTTATTTACTTAAATGACATTCATTTTGCTATTTATTATTATTATTATTATTATGAGGTTTTGGCATGGTATAACAACATACTCATATAATTGGCAGAAAATAGCTCTAGTTATAGATATTGGCATCAAATAGCCAATAAATGTATATCACAATAATAATATGTATATCACAACTCTCTTTTTTCTTCTTTGTCTATACCAACATGTATATTAAAATTTATTTTCATTCTTTGTATATAAATAATATTATTCTTTTTATATCAATAATATAAATTATATATATAGTTATTGCTGCCTTTATATCAATGTATATCACAATAAAAATATTGTATTATTTGAATATCACAGTGTATAGCACATCGGACATATGTATATCAAAATAGATATCATAAGTTTATTTTTCTTCTTTGTGTACATCAAAAATTAATTTTCTTTGTATACTAAAATATTATTTACTCCCACAATTATATTTATTATTTTTATATTTTAGAACTTTCTTAAACATGCTATATCAAAAATTTATTTTCCGTTTTTTATCAATAATTAATAATTATATTATTTGTATATCACAGTGTATAACATAATAATAATGTGTATATCAAAACAATTATTAAAATTTTATTTTCCTTCTTTGTATAACACATTTCAGATTGAAAATTCAAGTTCAAAATGACTCCACATGTGTATCCCCTATTGTAACCCGTGTATATCTCTATGTACATCAATGATATCTCATGTATATTATGTGTATCTGTGTATATCCATGAAAATTTGTGTTATATATACGATATATAATGTGATATACACGGACATCCATAAAATTGTGTTGTATACCGATATACAAAGTGATATACACAGACGTCCTTAAAAACTTGTGTCTGATATACACTGATGTACCCGATATACAAAGTGATATACATATTTCACAGTTGGATTTTTAGGTATGATTTTTTGCTCGAAACTAGTCTAAATCACTTTTAATCTTGCTCAAATTTTGTGTATAGCCTCGTTTAGGTATTTTCAACTAATTTCAATCACACTCACTCATTCAATCCAACCAAAAAAAGGAAGAGAGAATAAAAACAAAGTTGAAATATATTTGTTCTCTCTTAGTTTTTGTTAATCTTGCTCAAATTTTGTATATAGCCTCGTTTAGGTATTTTCAACCAATTTCAATCACACCCACTCATTCAGCCCAACCAAAAAAAAAGAGAGAAGAAAAACAAAGTTGAAATATTTTTTTTCTCTTAGTTTTTGTTTCTGATTTTCTCTGATGTGAGATCAACCTTACCTTTTCATCCCACTGATTTTTTTTTTTTTTTTTTTTTNAATTTCAATCACACCCACTCATTCAGCCCAACCAAAAAAAAAGAGAGAAGAAAAACAAAGTTGAAATATTTTTTTTCTCTTAGTTTTTGTTTCTGATTTTCTCTGATGTGAGATCAACCTTACCTTTTCATCCCACTGATTTTTTTTGCATAATTTGCAAGAATTTTTGCTAAACTATGAGAGCGAAAGAGAAGAGATAGAAGAAGAAATACAAGGAGAGAAAGGGATAGGGAAGCTAAGTGTGTAGTTTTTTTAGAGAGAATATGAAAGAGAGTAGTTTTTTTTAGGATTTGGCTATATTATGCCAATTGTTTGGGCTATCTTTTCCAAAACTAATATAAGGCTAAAAAATTGCAAATCCCTATTATGGGTTGATATAGGATGCCATTTTTTCTTATTATTTAACGCTACCTACCACCTTTTGGGTCATTGAATATTGTTAGCCTTGTCTACATTTACTGCCATTCGGTCAAATATACACCTTATCTACCACAAAATCGGATATCTTGTCTATTGGGATATTAATATTAGCTAAGATTGACTCTACTTTATTTGAATCTAATTGGTTGAACCCGGATCTAAATTTTGGGTCGAACATATATATAGATATCAAGCCTTTTTTGTTTATGTTGAACTCTTTAACTCCAATTTTTCATAATTTTTACTCATTTTATTGGTCGTTAGGCCGCAATATTTCATACATAAGTGAGATTTTCTTAAGGAGAAAAACTAGGTAGTGTTTGATTGTTGGGATAATGGGGTAGTAAGCAAAGGGTTGGAGGAATAAGAAACTCTCTGTTGTTGAAGAAAATAAAATATCTTCAGGCTGAGGTGCGGATATCTCGCTTTATTTAAGGAGATTCAAGCCCACTGCAACAAAGTCTTCACTGGTCCAGCAGTAATCCTCTTGACTTGTCTCCCCAGGATACAACAGCCCGATCACGTTGTATGACTCGAACAAACTCTAGACAAGTTGTTGAGTCCAAAACTCCACCAAGATGAACACCTTCCTTCAATAAAAGTAAAAACTCTCTTCTTCTTTTTCACAACTTTAACCTCACTTTATTAAAACACTCCACAATTATTTTTCATAACACATTAGGGAAGAAAGACTCCTATTTATAGGTGTAGGAATTCTTCCTTGAATTAAATTGGAAGAAAGTGGGATAATAAGTTATGAAATCATGGAGAACATGAGATAATTAGTGTGTAATTAGTGATAGAACATGGGAGAAGAGTTACAACCATTTTCTACATCATGGAATAGTGGGAGTTATGGGAGTTATGACCATTTTCTATATCATGGAGTAGTAAAAGTTATGGCATTTTTTATTTTAATATTAAAATGCTAAAATATTAACACTCTCCCACCTTATGCACCGTTTGGAAGTGAGAGAGATAAAAGAGAGCAATTTAGAACTATTCAAAACCTACTGTACTTGGCCATTACAAATCAAACAAAACAACTTGGGAAACACATTTATTAGTTGAAACACATTTATTATTTGAAACGCATTTATTTTGTCTCTCTATAATGGCATCTTTGTATCTCCTCAAATAATTGTCTTATGTCTCTCATGTTTGTGTCTCTAGCTAAGAAGAGAGAGATAGAAGTTGAGAATAATAGTAAGTAACTAACTGATGTGAGGCGGCTTTGCTCAGAGATAGGTTGTATAACCATTTACAGCCACTAGAAAGGATACATCCATACAGGGAAGAGGTGAGGAGAGCACATTATAGATGGAAGTAGGGGTGACAGACGAATGGGTTGGGTCGGATACAGGCAGGCCGAGAATGGGTAATACAGAAGTAGATAAACTATTCGACCCAATCTATATTTAATACGGATAGAGAAAATCTTTTAATCGAGAGATTATATTATAGATGACTTCTGGATTATGATAACTTTTGAGAGAATACCTAATCTCCAAAACATGAAAACCTCCAAATTTTAATCTTTATTGATTATCCATTTTTAAGTGATAATATGGATCTTATTCACACTTGACTCATTTCAAAAGAAGTTTATTATCTAACCCATTTTTTTAATAGATACTCCAATATGGATGGATAACTGTTTTTCTTAAAATCTATTTTGCCACCGCTAGATGGAAGCAGCGACTTCAATTACGTATAAAAAAGTTTTATGTTGTTAGTGTAATTTAACCTTTATAGAGGTTATTTCCTTTGTTTTTTGGATCGTCAGATCATGTTAGTTACAAATAATTATTTATTACTGTGAGTAATTTCACTTAATGGTGTAAATCTATTAACATTATCATTTATCAGTGTACAACAATTAAACTTTTTTATTTACAAGTTTCACCAAAGTTATCTATTCTAACCCAACCTATTAAGAATATAGTATAATTGGATGCTAAAAGTCACATTATTCTACTTTTAATTTACGGTCTCGATTTCATGTCTTAATTAGAATTGAAGAGTTCTTTATGGGAGGATGCTTTACAACCTGTCATATGCCTTCTCCGCATGAATCTGAATTAGCCGAGCTATGAATTTTAATTTAAATACATGTTTGGAGCAAAAAATAAATGTGAAACTCTGTTAGGATCGAAAAACCAGGTGTCATGCGGAAGCTAGTAAAGCAAACCCTCAACGATGATAAATCAGATAACAAAAGAAAAATCTACCAAAAGAGACACAAACATATAACGTGGTTCGGTCAACTGACTTACATCCACGGGCGGAGATGAGCAATTCACTATGACAAAAGAGAGTACAAAATATCGAGAGAACAACCTCACGAAGAGGCAAACACAAGTGACACACTAACATTTGTCCCGTAAAGTTCTCACCCTAAGCACGACTCTCAAACATCATATGACTGCATTGTGGATGCTACTGAATGAGAATGATGGATCTTCAATTTAAGGAACTCCAAACATTTTTCTACAAGAAAAGGAACTAGCAAAATATGGGAGATTTGTAATTTCCTTCTACAAGAAGGAAAACTCAATTAAGGTAAACATGTTGTCCTTTCCTTCAATAAATAGGAAAACAAAATATGGTAAGAAAA